ATAAAATTTTTTCTTTGTTTCTAACTTTGTTTACTGACATATATAAAGGTGAACATTCGATCAGTTTGATTTCAATTTTTTTAAAACTGATCGACTGAATTATATAAAAAAACATTGAATCAAATTAAATTGAAATACAGAACCGAACTGAATTAAAACTAAAATGGTTCAATTCAATTAGTCTATTCAGTTCATGAGCTTTGATTTAAATTTATGAAGTTTAATTGTTCATATATTTTTCTAACTAATTTTTTCACTTGATATTGAAGGCTCAATAAAAAAATAGCAATCTTATATCATAATTCACGAAAAAATTAATAAGACTCAGTACTATTGCACTAAAAACTAAATTATAAAAATAAAAAATTAGAACATTACGTTAAACAAAAAAATATTACTACTGTGAGTAGTGAAAAGATATTTCTTGCTCACCTAGATAAGAATTTACTCACATTTTTAAAAATATGAAAAGAAAAATATAGATAATTCAGTTAATTTAGTTTATTTGATTTTAGAATTTTCAGATCGAATTGAATCGATTAACTGAAATTTTTCTTGAAAAAAACTGAATTAATCCAAAAAATTAAATAGACTGAATTAAATGGATAAAATTTAATTCAATTTAATTTAATTTTTAATTTTAATTCAATTTTACTCACCCTGAACACATATACTATAACAGTGCAATGTGCTACTCTCTTGGCATCTGCCTTAGAAGACTAATTCCATTATCGATAGCTCTCATCGTCAACCCAAACCTTTTAAGGTTTAACGGGGCCGGGAAAGAAAAAGATACCTTGAAAATTGCGAGTTTTAGTACCCTTCACACGCATGCCTCATGAGCTGTGGCCGACAATCACGAGCTATGGTCCACATCTCAAATGAGTATACAGCCTTTTGCATACGTCAAGGAAACCCCTTACTTGTGGCTAAACTTTAGGTCCGTTGTTAGCTTGAAATTATGAAAAAAGAAATAAAATTGAATATAAAATCTATTAACATATATATTTGGTATGCAATAATTATTATTTTTTAGATTCTGAATTCAACTAAAAATTTCACAGAATCCAACTTTATCACATGCATCATGGAATCCGATTTCATGGTTCCCTTTCTTCAGTTTGCCCCTTCTCCCTCCTCCAATATATTTTTTTTTAAATTTTAAAAAGGACATTTAGTCTTTTCTTATTTTAAGTACTTATATTTTATTAAAATTATATCAGGATTACATCATTATACCAAACACACTTTTAAATTCAATTCTATTCCAATTTCAATTTCAATTTAGATTCTGATTCTGATTCCAATTTCATTAAAAACTTTTCCATCATACCAAACATGGCCTTATAGTGCGATCGAAGTCACGGATATGAATTATTACATTTCTCTGTTAGGAGCTGTGGGCTGAATTGGACTGGGATTGGCACCTACGTCAATCTATGTCGACAGTAGGTGCCAGTAATGAAACCATACTCGACAGTCAAATTCTCGAATGGATGCATGTTTTTGTTGTTGAAATATGATGGACGAGCAGAGAAAGTGTTTTAATTTAACCATCGAAGGTTTAATTGGTGACGTGGAATACAAAAGAGCAGTAGAGAGTGTTTGAATCACAGAGAAGGACCCCCCAGCGGAAGCAGTGGAGAAAGCGCGAGATAAACTGTAGCATGCATGTACGCGGAGGAATATCGCACGTTGTGAGTTGTCAATGACGTGTCACGGCGTAACCCCGAAGCTGCGAATTGCGAGGCTGATCAATTCCATCCATATACAAACGTATTCGTTATTCCTTTCAAAACCTGCAACCATTGCCCTTTAAGTAAGCTGAATAATACCATTCCACAAAAAAAAAAAAAGCTGAATAATAGCGTTACATGAGCATATTATCGTTAAGTATTTACTTGTACGTGTCTCATCTGACGATCTATATTATATATCGCATCCATTCAAAGCTTTTGGCCATTAATTCATCACCAATATCTGCTGGAGCCAACACAATCCCTATCTTTTTTTCATTACAATGGATCGGCTAAATAAATTAAGAAGGCTTACGTGCTCCATTTTAAATATCAAGTCGAAGTTTAGTCTAAAGCATGTAACAGGTGAGTCAATTTATATACAACGTATGTATATTTGGATATGCATGTATTGTACATTAAAGCACGTCGCTTAATTAGCTGACGACGGGGGGCTTTCGTGTCCATTAGTCACCGAACTCAGCCAATCAGCGTCCTTATCATCAGATGATTTGTGAAAGTCTTTTAACTCTTGAAAATTTGCTAATTCCTCGCCGCAGACATGCACATACCTTGACCATTGTAATCCAATTCTTCTGAACAGCTACCTTCCCTTTTCCCGCCCCGCCATTCAACTAGAACCAACAAATAAATCTCTCACCAAAAAAAGAAGATGATGAAGAAGAAGCAAATATACTAACTATAGTCTGCAGATTCATGCATGCCATCACATTGGAGTTAGAGACTGCGCAGTGTATTGTCCTAATTTCATGCCAGCACAAATGAATTGCCGACCAAAGTCTAATCTATCTAATAATCAGTAACGCAACGCAGATCCTTGACTGGTTTTTACTGATTAAAATACAGTTTTGAAAAATATAAATAGCGAAAAGCGGAGGGATTCTCGTATATAAAATACTGTCAGGGTTAACACTAGATTCTTCTGCAATTTAATACACGACCGACGCTCGAGGCGAGTATAAAAAATAGTGGGCAAAAGTAATCTATGCTGGGCATTGATGTTGCCTTGTGTGGTGATTAAATAAATAATTGAACGCCGAGAAGATTGCACAGCACCCTAAGATTCCCAAGCAATTGGAGTACTTATTTTGTTTGGACCAGAGTGATGGTGTCTGTTTTCAGAACATTGTTTCTCTCCGAGGTGAATCTTTTCTTAAACGCCCAATATGTATGGCAATAAAATTTTGAACCCAATTGTCGTCGATAAAATTTCGAATGGATCACCCACAAAAACAAATATACATTCTGCCTGTGATAGACAAATATGGATTTTTGGGGCCACACGTGCACGCGCACACAAAACATGATTTATTACAATCGAGTTTTGTATATAAATTGGTCAGGTATCTAGCTCCATCAAACGTGACTTGATTCTCTTGCCCTTGCTGAGTTATGCTGGTCTATTAATTCAGGGTATACTGACCGCAGGAACACACACACACACACACACACACATGCATGAAGTACACAATTGAACTCGTAGCTTCTCACACATAAACCCCGTCATCTTTAGCAGGATAGTCTATAGAGATCAAATCTAGAAGCGCTGGGACATGGGAATAATCCGCCCGTCAAATCCACGTTTATCATATATCTTTTAATTTGCTTGGCTCTCAATTTCCTGAATATCAATGTGTGGTGTGGACGGAGTAAGTACATAACATCAGTACATTCCAAAACATCTTTTATATACTACCACAGCCTTCGATAATATTTTTAAGATAGTTACTGTAATTCGTTTATTTGATTTCTTAATATACTACTTTACATGGAGGCACAGCCTTTTTATATACAGCATAAATAAATATTTGCTCCGCTTGAATATTCTTTCTACGAATTGAGTGTTATGAACAATTCTTTCTAGTTATAACATGATAGCAAAAAATGTGACATATTGTCATTACAATAACTTAATCCAAAAATAAAAGCGAAAGTGTTGTAATAATATCAGGACTAGGCACCTTCATAGACGTTGCACATTAGAGGCTTGTTAGGAGCCTATCGTTTTTTCTCAACTATCACGTTCAAGAAAAAAAGATCCGGTCTAAGTCTATCGCCACGCCAATTTACTTAAATTTGACTAGGAAGCTTATCAAGGCTACCTATTTATATTATATATTATATTATATACATATATTTTTTAAATATGTATTTAGTGTTACGTAAATATATAAATTATATAGAAATAAAAATATCATTTGAATGAATTTATCATTTTGCTTTGAATTTCTTTATTTTATAAGTCAAAATTTAAAATAATAAAGAAAGAAATCATCCTCAGTGATACTCTCCCTTATATAAACATAAATAATTATATATATATATATATATATATATATTATAATACACATAATATTTAGACGTATACTATACAAATTTTATTAAAATATTGATAGATAATATAAATAAATTAGATCTAATATATACATGAAATTTAATTTAATCTGACCTATTTCACCTTATCCGTGAACTTCGAAGTTGAAGGTAGAATTGTTATTTAATATGAAAGGGAAGCCCAGCAAGCCTAATCAGAATGCTAAAGTTAGGGGTGAAAATAAGTTAAGTAAAGTTAAACTTTAACTAAATAGAATTGAGCTTGTGTAGGGCTTTTCTTCTAGTTTAAATTTGAGCCTATCTAAAGTTTGATTTAATTTAAAAGCCAATTTAAAAATAAAATTTTTAAATAAACTTGTATTTAAATTTTACATATTTTAAATATACTTTAGGACTATCAGTATAAATATACAACCTAATTTATCAATTATAATATATAATAATTAAAGGATTTATCAACTTCAATACAATACAATAATAAAATAATAATATTAAAATCAATGTATAAATTCAATATGATTGAAAACATAACTAAAAATTAAACAAATAAATTAATTAAAAATCAAATTGTGAAATTGTTATGTGTATGATATATTACAGTGTATGTATGTATATATATGGATGTATGTAAATAAGCTGGTTAATTAGGCCCGTAAGCTTGGTGTTAAATAATTAGATTTAATCTATTTAATTAATTTGATTTAATTAAAAGCTTAAACTTAACCTCTATATATATATATAATTAATAAATAAGTTGAATTACACTTGAAATAGGTTAGGACATAAGTCACTGATATGGGCGTGGCTTATTCTCGCCCTGCCTAAAGTGGAGGGGGAAAAATTTTAATTAAATCGCAATCGAGGGACCTTTCAAGTCCGAAAATGCCTATAAATAACCCATAGGCGAATCTCGAACCATAGCCACACCCGAACACTTTCCACACCTACGACGTAATAGGGAGATATGGGGGGTTGGGCTATAGCCGTGCACGGTGGCGCCGGCGTCGATCCTAATCTCCCAGCCCATTGTCAAGATAAAGCCAAGCAACTTCTCACTCGCTGTCTCCAACTCGGTATCTCTGCTCTTAAGTCCAATCTTCCTGCCATCGATGTCGTTGAACTTGTCGTAAGTGTATCTTTCTTTCTCTGCATCTCCATCTTCAAAACTCTCTCTCTCCCCTCACATGAAATCAAGAAGTCTATTAGCAAACCCCATCTCAATTACCCGTTCATAATGCGCGGCTCTTCAGCCACAAGTTCCGATTACAGCCGCCGTCCCATGCACGCTCTTTCACAGTTTACTTAGTTGAACTAGACATTCCATTAACACGCACGCACGCACTTGTTAGCTAGCAGGCGTTGGTTGATTTCCGAATATATATAATGGGTGGCGTGTGAATGTGATAGGTGAGAGAACTGGAAACAGATCCGCTGTTCAACTCGGGACATGGATCTGCGCTGACAGAAAAAGGGACGGTGGAAATGGAGGCAAGCATCATGGAAGGTACAAAAAGACGATGCGGTGCCGTCTCAGGCCTTACCACCGTCAAGAACCCGATATCGCTGGCCCGCTTGGTGATGGACAAATCCCCTCATTCATACCTCGCTTTCTACGGCGCTGAAGAATTCGCCAGGCAGCAGGTTCGTCAATCTTTTTTCCTGTTTTCACTCATTCTTCAGACCCCTATCGCCAATTCGTCTCTCCACCCAGTTCGGATCAGTTTTCATGGCTGGAAAAAGTCTCCCACTTTTGTCTTGTCACCGACTCCGTTTCATTTTCCATATACCAACGGCTATATATTTACGTCTTACGTGCAACCACTCTCGGTTGTGGCAATTTTGCCTCGTTGTATGGGCGGTATTTCCGTAACTATTTGTTAATAAATAAATAAATAAATATATCTCTGATTTTTTAAAATTAATATGAAAAGAAGCTGGAGTAATTTGGTATCGTGTAAAATGTGTAGGGTGTGGAAACAGTGGACAACGAATACTTCATCACACCTGAAAATGTTGGTATGCTGAAGCTGGCAAAGGAAGCGAATGCTATTCTGGTACACCTCTCTCTCTGTCCGTGAAAATTAAGAATCATGAGTAATTTCAAAGGAGACTCAGTATCTTTGGACGCAGTTTGATTACAGGATCCCAGCCGGAAGCGAAACGTGCGGTGCAGGGGTAGAGAAACCACTGCAGATGAATGGACTGCCCATCAGCATATACGCGCCGGAGACGGTGGGGTGCGTGGTGGTGGACAGCGAGGGGAGGTGTGCGGCGGGGACGTCAACGGGAGGGTTGATGAACAAAATGACCGGAAGGATCGGAGACTCGCCGTTAATCGGCGCCGGGACCTACGCGTGTGACGTGTGCGGGGTATCGTGCACCGGGGAGGGGGAGGCCATCATAAGGGGGACACTGGCGCGTGAGGTGGCGGCGGTGATGGAGTACAAAGGGCTGAAACTTCAGGAAGCAGTGGACATGGTAATCAAGGAAAGGCTTGACGAAGGGATGGCTGGGTTGATCGCAGTGTCCAAGAGTGGTGAAGTTGCCTATGGCTTCAATTGTAATGGCATGTTCAGGGGCTGCGCCACTCAGGAAGGTTTCATGGAAGTTGGAATCTGGGAATAGATTGTGCAACGTCACTGTTTGTACTTTTACTTTTCCCCTCTGCGTTGCTCTGCATGTCTTATCTTTTATTCCAACCAGGGTCCTCTGGCTAGCATTTTGTTCTCTGTAACTCCACAATATAATGCTCAAATAAATAATAGTTGTTTGTTCCTTCAAATGAACTCCTTTTTGTTTCTCTAAATTTTCAACATTGATTCTGGAGGCTTTTATGTAAAAGTTCTTGTAGTAACATTGGCAAAAAAAGAAAGAAAGAAAGAAAGAAACTAAAAAAATGTGATCATCGGTGCCAGCAACAAAAAGTTTTATCCCGCTGCACAAGATCATTCATTCCAAGCGCACACCAAACTAAGCAAGATATGCAGTAGCTGGAAGGATGCAGATTCAATCTTGCTTGTAATCTTATGTTATTAGTGTCTGCCTCTCTATGTGAAAAAAGACATCATTTTTTTAAAGTCCCAGTCCACAAACCAGAAAGAATAGGTCATGAAACAGGCATTCATAGACCGCCGCATGAAACAGTTAATTACTGAAAGGGAATACAATATTCGACAGAGAACGTGGTCCAGCTTTCCCCTTTAGAGCATCTCCTTGAATTGTATTTTGCTCAAAAGCTAGTATATAAAAAGGAGGGGCGCAACATTCGGCGCTGGAATCATGAAATGATCCTTCTTCAATTATTTATAACCTGTGAGATGTAGCAATTTACATAGACCTTAATTATATTTGCCTTGCTTTCTTGATAGAAATTATCCCATTTAGTGGTTTTATATGCTCAACAATTCCTGGATGTTATATATATAGCTTAATCATAGCTTACTAAGTTTTGAAAGCTTGTGCGTCTTAACTTAAAATAAAAGACGGGGTCGCGACATATGGTTTGTTTGAACTCGATCTATCTGCAATAATGGATGTGGAAGTAACTTTGACAAACTAAAACAGAAGTTGGAAGCTGATGGGAACTCATTTATGAAGCTAAGTTTTACAAGAGTCTACTCTCATGAACTCATGTATATATTTGTTTGCCGGAAAAGTCAATCCGGCTTCCTCATTTTGTTTCCCGGGACCACTCTCATGAACCACTTTAGAGTCTCTCCTGGACTTCGTAGCTCCTGATCTTCCTGGCTTTTCTGCGGAGGAGACTGCACCAGCACTCTCAACTTAGAATTCTACAGCACCTTCCTCGTTCATGAATTCAATCCCCCAACAAGTTGCACAAGTCAGACATAATAAGACGCACAAAAATGACAGGATCTTTCGGATAAACTGTTAGATATAAGGCTGTTTAAAAATATGAGCACCTTCGCATCCATGCTCACCGGTCGCGGACGATTTGACCGGGATTTGAGGATGCTGCTTATAAATTTGACATGTACATGCATATCTCTTAAATAATATTAATGAACACGAAACACCCATCTTGCTAAAGTCAATCTGTTGGCACCTGGTGGAGGCTGCGGGTGCTCCTTGCTCCACCTATCAATCTCATCCTGAAAACTTTAATATGTTGACACGTTTGCTGCTTCTGCTCATAAAATAATTCAACGCTTATCTTGAAACGTAACACGTTTATGCTGATCTGGTGTGGTCAAGCCTAGGTCGCCCAGCTATAGGTTGCTTGTTAATTTGCTCATTGGCTTGTGATTATCCGTACAGAGAAGTCGATACAGAGGCGTGAAATTGTTTCTTATTGCTCGTGTTCTTGATCAGGGTTATGCAGATTGAGTGCAGTTTTTTAGGTTTAATTATAACTCAGGAATTCCGTTGCACGACTCGATTCACAAATAAGGAAAGAAAAAGTCAAGAAATTGGGAAATGCATATAGATATATAATATATTCATTATGTATGGGAGAATAGAAATAGGAAGAGGAGGGCTAGTGGAGAGGCAGGATTGGGTAGGGGGAAGAGGCTAGATAGGCACGAGCCAAGTTGATCCCTAAGTGAACCTGTGACATGGTGGTGAGGTGAAGCTTGTCAGGCTTGAGGCGTAATCCCCTGGCATCGACGCACGTGACGTTGGGCAGCTTGATCCCCAGCTGAGCCTTTCTCACCATCTCTACGTATTTGCCTTCCCCTGATGCCAATGCCACCTGCAACAATATTTTCCATCCCCTTCAATTCACTTTCTTTTGTTTTATTCACGCCCGCATGTCACTATCCAATCACTACCATTAATTTTTATTAAATATAAATAAAATGGAAGGATAAAACTCAATATATGCAGTAACATTTTCAAATATAATATTCTCTGGGCCAAAAACATCTTTCAAATATTAATACTTTTGGGTCTGACGTGTTGTCCAGTCGGACGGCACTGAAAGGATCAAGAGAACGTTAGAGGAAAAGACAGACTTATGAAATCAAGGCTCAGCTGCTAGGCTTGATGGCATTTATAAGCCGCGTGCGCAAGACATACAGTGACCGACAAAAATTATTATGGGTATGGCACAACACAACGGCGTGACATTTTAAATTATTTTCGAGCATGAAGCAGAGTGACATGCGCGTGCTTTAAAATTAAAAATAAATAATGAAAAAAGAGGGACTGTGAAAAAGAAGGGGTAACCTGTATCATGAGGGGAGAAGGAAGTTGAAGATCAGAACGCAGATCCCTGATGAAGCTCTGCATACGATCCTTATATGAGTCAGCGTCTTCCTTCGTGACGGTGTCGCTCTCGCCTTGATACCAGAGAAGTGCTCTAATGGTGCCACCGTCACTCACAGACCGAGTGGCTCGCTCAACCAACTGAGTGTACAGATGGGATCCTCGGCTCCACTGGGCAAGTCGAGTCCCGCCAGCTGCGCAAGGGACGAGACCCACCGTACCAGAACCAGGTCGAATGACGCGGTTGGCAAAAGACATTCCGGGCCCAACGCCGCAAGTGTTGCCCACGTCAATGCCAGCGTGGAGAGGCTCGTGGGCTTCCTCCCATTCCAGTTGAGCGTTCAGTCTGAAAATGGACGGGTTGGGTCGGCACTCCGGCGGCACGTTGCCGTCCCATTTGCCTCCCTGAACGCCGCCCCGACCCGCCATGTTGCTCTGTCCTCCCAGTATGAATATGTCCTTCGTCTTAGCCGCCGCCCACCCTGACGACTGGCCTAATATTACCACTCCCATTGCAAACAACCATGACGCAGAGGACTTGAGAGCCATGGCTGAGATGATTTTTTCCTTTGTTAAAAACCTTCAAGCCCTCTTAAATGGCTCTGCTTTAATAACGTTTTGGTTGTTGCGTCATATCCTTCTTCGAGGGAGTCAGTAGCCATGTGGGCATCATCCATCGACCAGCATGGCAAACAAAAGTCAAAAGGTAAAACGTTTATTGTCATCGGGAAAACACAATCCTCAATCAGTTCCTTCAATTTCATTAGATTTTATTTTTAATCTCTATAATTATTTTCAATCTCTATAATTAAAAAAATAATAGACATTTATTTTTTAAATCTCTATAATATTATTTTTAATGTTTTTAATTCACATAAAAACTACAAACACTAAAAAAAGTTATAAAAAGTAAAAGTAAAATATAGTAAAACTATAGGAATAAAAAATTATGTTTTCTCTTACTCTTTCTCTTTAAAAATATAAGATATTTTTTGAAAAGTTAAAAGTTTAAAAATGTAAAATTTTTTAATTTTTTAAGTATAATTATTATTTTTTTTAAAGTACCTCTATTAATAATAATTTTATATTTATTGTCAGGTATTTAATAGAGGTAAATATAAAAAGATATAATTATTTTAAAAGTAGGTAATTATTTTATTGATGGGTAAAATTTAATTAAAAATAACTTATATTTTTTAACAGAAAGAATATCATTATTAATTATTATTGCATGCTCCTCCGATCAAAGACTCTTCAATCTTGATTGCATGTAAAATGGTGGTTTAAAATGATGATTGAGTACAGTTTTTAAATAAAATCTCTAAACTTAATTTTTTGAAATTTAAAACTAAAAATATTATATATTTTTGTTCAATTTATTCTAAATATTTTTTAAGAATATCATTTTTTTTGGGTGGCGGGAGAGGTTTATTTCTTGTCTATACTTTGTTTAAACAATAAAACTTTTTGAAAGAAAAGCTTTCTGGCGTGCCTTGCTTGTTTCCAATTTCCAAGTTCAGGAGGAGCCCACAAAAAGGGTCATGGCACATATCACTGCGCTCACGCCTTTCGAATTCCATTGGTGCCTTATATAACAGCCCTTACGTGAAAAGCAAGTCTCTTTTTTTTAAAAAAAAAAAATTTATACTAATATAGTATCTATGCAATGTACAGTATATTTTTATAACTTAAAATAATTTTATTTTAGATTGTTAATCAATACAAATAAAAAAAATTTACATAAAATAAATTATAATATTAATTAACAAAATGAGTATAGAATTATAAAAATAAAAATTAATCAAATGCTCAAAACCATGGTGACCTCTCTCTCCATATCTTTCACCTCTTTTCTTTAACTCATCTATCAATCTTTTTTACTTTATTTTATTTTCACTCTAATAAAAAAGTTACTGTAGTTGATCAAGTTTAACATCCCACAGTCATTGAAGTATCTTTTTTATAAACCACAATATACTTTATTATTTTTATTGTGATGATATTGTGATTTTATATTTTTTTCTTTATCATTTGTAGGTTCATCTAATAATTAGATAGCTTGTAATATTTTTCTCACATATAATCCATGAAAAATTAAGATTATAAGGTAAATATAAAAATTGCATGACTCCATCTTTTTTATTAAATCATGTGAGGGTAGAAAATTTGTTGAAGTACTGTAATTTTTATGATTTATAAATATCAACAAATAAACATTAATATATATTAAAAATTTAATTTTCAACGCAAACATCAATATTTTCAAATCTTATAATTAAGATATTACAATATAAAATATCATCAAGATCAAAACACAAATTTGATGGTTAAGTTATTATCTTCAGATACAAATTATATATAATTTTAAAATTTAAAATTTAATTAATTCACTTGACACTTATAATGCAAATAAGAATTAAAATTAAACATAGATCATTAAAATATCATTTAAAATTAAGAAATTTGGATCACTGTGAGTAAATTATTATGAGTATGCTTTTCAAAAAAAGATTTACAAAGAGATGCCTAAGAGTCAAAATATATGAAGAGTGAAAGAAAAATTACGTTGTGTTGATGTAAAGAACCATGTCAATATATATCTCCCTCTTCTTTCAATTTTGATATACCTATAGAGTTATAAAATAATTAACAAATCATCATACAATTTATAATAAATATTCTAAAAACTAAAAATTAAATTCTATAAAATCATAACTTCATGAAAATAAAGCATAGTAAGTTTTTTTAGTTTCATTGTTTATGAAAGACAGATTTAGAATGATGGAGGAAAATTCAATAAAAAAAATACAAAATGCACGCTCATGTGCAATTACCTGGTAACTATTATGAATATGAGATATATCAAAAATTGAATTGCTCTTTTGATGTCTACAAGCACATAACAATCCCATCACGCCATTGATTATGAATGAAAAATCATCATAAAAGATGACACAAGAGGTGAGAGGGCATTGATGATGAAAGGAGAAGCCAAAGATAATGAGAGTTTTGTGATTCTTCTTGTCTTGATGAGAGAGAATTGAGCAATTGAATGATATTATGATTGAAAGAAAATTTCGTGTACTTTATAATTGCTCAATGCGATCGTGTATTTGTGTAATTAAAATTTTAAAACTAAAGATAAAAAATTATGAGAAGTTATGATGATAGGAGAGTGGGAGAGAAATGAGAAAAAATAAAAATTAGAATAACTCATTTAATTTTAAATATAATACCTTTTTAATAATTAAAAAGATTTGACAAAAAATCTAACGTGCATGCTAAAATTGTGTATTTTAAGTGGTGAAGAAGTTGAAAAGTTATGATATTGGATAAAATCATGGAAGAGAAAATTTAGGGACAAAAAGAAGTGATTTCTACAATTTAAGATAATATTGTTATCATCTATAAAAAAATTGGTATTATGTAAACAAATTATTTTTAGAAATTAATGTTGACATGGATAACTTATAAATATTTTATTAATTCATACATTTATCATTCAGTTTTTATTTGTTTATTTATATGATTTAATTTGTAAAAAATTATTTAAATTATTATTCATAAAATTATCATATCAATTCAAAATTATTTATGAAATGACAATACTCAGGAAGTTATATTTGAGATCATAAGAGATAATATCAAATATAAACTTTTTTAAAAAAATTTAAATTGTAAAATAGTTGAAAAATTATATTTGAGATTTTGAGATCATAGGAGAGAAGTTACATTTTTAAATTATAATCTTATAAATTAGAATAATGATGTAAATAGCATAAAATTGTAATATTTTTTTAAAAAAACTCATATGTGTCAAACTTGAAAAAGTGTTTCTTATTTATCTATTATATATATATATATTCACTAAATTCTACATGAATCATGGATTTAAGAAGTTATTAGAATGATGGAATAATCTAAATAACTATCCATATTTAAATTTAATTATATGCATGAATTAAAAAGATCACAAATTAAATTGTAGAACAAGGAGGTTATTAGAATGATTGAATACTGAATAGCTAACCATATCTAAAAGAGGAATCGTGAGGTTAGTAAATTATTAGATTATGGGTTAAAAAGTTATTGGAATAAATAATCTAAATAACTATCTATATTTAAATTTAATTATATGCATGAATTAAAAAAAATAAAACTAAATTGTAGAACAAGAAAGTTATGAAAATGATAGAATACTGAATAACTAATCATATCGAAAAGAGGTATTGTGGGATTAGGAAATTGTTAGATTATGGATTAAGAAGTTATTGAAATGGAGGAATAAAAATAAATTATATTCATGAATTAAAAATAATTTTGCAAATGAAATCTTAAAATTGTACTATTTGAAGAAAATGACACTTGTCATCCATAGAGATATGCTTGTTATTCTTCTATTACATATATATATATATATATTAGATTAAATAAAAAATAAACTGAAGTTCCTAAAAGGTAAGCCATTAATTAATATCTGTGCTGTTAGAAATAAAGCGATACTAATAAGATTCTGAGAAGAGTGGAATTATTTTTGGTTGAGAGCAGAATCCTGTGACCCAACTTGCTTCCTAGGGACAAGTATCTTTGGAGTAGAAAGCTACCTATTATATATGCATTAAGATTTGCTAATGTAGATATCGTTAATGTCGGGCCATTCTCTATTGCAAGTGGGAACTGCATATATAAGTCAGGTCCAGTAACTCAAGAATCCAGATATATGGATATGGACAAGGGACTTGAACGAAAGCGAGTCCTGCCTTTTTTGTCTTAGGTTCAGATTAACTCGCGGGGACCTTACATGCGATGCCAGGAACTCCTCATAATGGTACCCACAAAATGGCTTGTGGTCCTAAATTAACTATCCGTCTAATATGTGCACCTCTTCTGCATAATGTAATGCCTCCATTTCAACCTCACCGCCGTTGCCATATTCCCTCAATGTAGTTGGGGACCAATGACCCACCACTATAACACCGTACTCCACCCTTGTATATTTCCTTCTATCCTTATTTTAAAATGTTCTTCATCGTTTCATGCATTTAAAAAAAATAATTTTTTTATGTTATTAAAAAAGATATATATTTTTATTTTTATTCTTGACTTTAAATGATAATACAATTATATTAAGTACTTTTACACTAATAAAAAAGGAAAAAATTTTAAAAAATGTTTAATTATTACAAAGTGTTGTATGTTTTGAATTAAAGATTACTTCCAAAAGGTTTTATATAAATAGGACTGAAGGGAGTATGTGTTGAGCACACAAATATATATATATATATATATATATCCCACAATGTTTGCCAAAGAAGATTGACGTTTTACAGAGAGATTTTTCATTGACGAAATATCATTGCATAATTGCATTCTGTGAGAAAAATAACAAAAAAGAGAAGGGAGTGGGAAGGACTATAAGAATGCTAGGAGCCATAAAATAATTAAAAAGGCACCTACAAAATTAGAAAGCATTGGAAGAGGAGGAGTCGAGTTATGCGAGGGAGCTTGAGCGCACAGGGGAGTGGGCAAGAAGCGAAGGAATGAGTCGGCCGTCAT